TCGTATACATGAGATTTTCATGGTTTGGATCATTTTTATTTTTATTATTTTTTCTAAAAATAAAAAAAATTATACTTCTACTATTAGCTTAATTTTTACTTCATTTGTTATTTTATTATATTCTGCTCAAAATTAATGTATGGATTGAAATCATCTGCATTCATCGTACCAAGAAAATTGATAAATGCATGTCAAATCGTCAACGCAAGTTGTTATCTGTATTTGTTTTCTTATATAACAACTAGCACACGTACTTATATAGCAATCACACATCTATGATTGTCAATCAATTTCTCACTTGTTAAGATATTATTATAAATTAAAACAGGAAATACAAAAAAAATTATATAAAAAGGAAATTTAAAACCATGGATTTTTTTCTTACTTTCCCTAATCATAAATTTTGATGAAGTTAATTATATTTGTATCATTGATGATGTTAATATATAGGGAAGATTCTAAGATTTTAAGATCCCATATGATGATCCTTAATTTCTTCAAATGTGCCAAAGGATTCTCTTTTTATTCATTAAACGGTGAAAAAAATGAATTACATAATTATTTGATGAATAAGTCCACTAATAGGTCTATAAATGTATCCCAATATGTTCTGTGCTCATCAAAAGATATTGTTGCGATTATTTTTGAATGGCACTTTGATTTTTATCTTTATTTACAATAAATTAAGTTTATGAGCGTTCTATAAAAGGCCTAAATTATATATAAAGTAATTTGTGAATCCAAAAAAACATAGATAATATCTAGGACCATAATATTAATTTAATTAGCTTCAATATTATAAAGATTTTTTTGACATTTTTTTATTGCTTTGATAGGAGATAAAAATTAGAGTCACCAAGAAAAAAAAAAACAATAACCAATAATGGATTGACCATCTGTATGTGGGATGACCCCCCTAATTAATGTTAGTATAGACTTATAGAGTAACTTATGTTGAAAATAAGCTGACTTTGCTGGCCTAAGATATCAACAGGAAGGAGATATATAGAGTCCCACCAATAACACGCGATTGATAAATTGAGATTCTATTTTCATATTACTTTCGGTCTTAATTATAAGATCTTATTTATAGACTATAAATAATGTCTTATAATTAAGACATGAGATAGTACATTTGATATGTTTGTGTGTGTGCATATAAATATTATTTGTGAGTAATCTGAACGACGCTACTACAATTTTTATACTTTCTCGTGTCTTAAACATCAGAACTAAATAATTAATTTACAAATATCAATAAAATTAGTTGAGTTAGTTTTTTTTTATAAATGATATGTGACAATTTTTCTAAATATCCATTTTAATCATTTACATTAAAACAAACATGATGATTTTGCCTGCTTGAGATCATAGAGAATTTGATAGAATTCTGCATAATTTTCCACAAAGACAAGTCAACCCTATGGGAATGCTTCCTACAAATCAAACCACCGAGAAAATTATTTTTCACATTTTCACATTTATCTAACGATCATTTCATGATTGAGCCATAGCAATGGCTAGAAAGTCCACAAACCAAAGTAACATAGGCCGAAAAAAGGAAGAAAATATCTCTTCATAGCCATGCAACCTTTAGCAACCAAACAAACTTTATATTATTTACAGAGAACTATGTATCAAAATGAATTTGATTTCATAGATACCATTTCATTAGGAAGGTCAGCCACACTTTACAATTAAAGGTTCCTTTTATTAGGAGGAAGGTCAGCCAACGGTCTCAAGAGACTTCTCCTACCTAGGCTTAAAACCCCATTTTGCATTTCTTGGCCGAGACTCATTAGAAGCTTCTTTATTACACTAATAATTATAAGTTTAATAATACAATTCAAGAAGCATATAGTAAAAAATTTATGATGAGGGTAAAAAGACCATCCACCTATACCCTTTTCATTGCCCCCCAAAAAAAAAATTAATGGGAGGATCAATAGAAAATAGGAAATAAATATAATAGGAAGTAGAAGAAAATTGAGATAATAACATTATCCTTAAGCACGTCTTTAATTTTGAGTTGAAGTTGTTGGAAATATAAGTCCTTATTTGTTATATTTATTTCATATAAGCAAAGTATTTTTCGGCAAAGCAAAGCTTCCCGCACATCGCGCAAGGATAGTAGCCCTAGTTGAGATAATAACAACATACCAAGAAGAAAAAAGGATCCCTATACACACACACATGTGTGTGTATGTGTGTGTATATATGAAATCTTTGTGTTCAAACAGATACCCCAGAAACAACCATAAAGAAATGATATTGAAAACAATATTTATTACGTCATATCTTTATATATAATATAAGAAATATATTGATTTAATTACAATTGATTTGAAAATAACAGTGAGAGTAATAAACTTTAGTTTTACACATTCATCTATCAATTATTTTTTTCCAAAAAATATAAATCAATGTTTGGAAATTGAGCTAGTCAGATTAATTGAGCACATGGAATAATCACGCATCAAGTACTTGACATTTAATTACAAGTTAACATCGTTTTTAAATGTCAAGCGAAACTTTGAGAGGGGAAAAAAACAAAAAGTTTTTTCTTGGTTTTTGTTGCTAAGTACATGTATTTTTTTGTTAGAAGCAATTCTATTTATGACACTATCAGATACTAAATATAATATTTTTTTCAGTGGGATTCGAATATTAGTTCATTATTTTGTGAAAAAATAGCATTTCATTAGATCCAATTCTTTTTCTTGTTTGAAAGAGAAATTAAAATGGAGGAATTGCTGTAACAAAAAAAAAAAATGGAGGAATTGAATAAAGTTCCCAAGCCACCCCATCGGTGTAGGACTGTGTCCACCCTGTCCTATTGTCGTTATGTCATTATCGCTTCTAAAAATCCCCTCAAGGCATCTTCCATCCCTTGTAGGGCCTGAAAGTGATTTACGTCTTTCTCTTAATTCTCCCCTCCTCTTTTTTCCCCCTAGAGAAATAAAAAAAGGAAATTTATTTATTAAAGTACTCAAAATTAATAAAGCAAATCTAACTCACCAACTTTTTCAAAAGGTAAATTTATTAAATAATTAAATTTTAATTTTCAAACATAAAAACATGTGATTTTTTGAATTGAAGATTAATGAATGTTAGGAGATTTTGAGAAGAAAATATTGTACTTTTAATTTATTGGATTCGAATTCGATTATTATACTAAAGTTGTATAAAAAGAAGTTAGGTAAAAGTAAAACCTTTCTAAAATATAATAAAATTTTATTATAACCGGTCCTAATTATAAAATATTATTTGTAATCTACAAACGATATCCTATAATTAGAATAGGAAATAGTATTAAATTTACCTAAAATTTAATTTAACTTTAATATCATCTAGCTAGAAACAATTATAATTTTAAAAATATTATTTCAGCTAAAAAAATTATAGAATCTCAGCCTTAGAGTTAACTTTTCATTTCTCAGGGCAAAAAAACAGGCATGATTTTTTCCTCTCTCTCACAGCCCCACCCCAATCCCCACCCATGACCCAACTCATTTTTTCCCCGGGAGAAAAATTAATGTCATTGAATGTACTACCTTCTTTTTAATTTAAACGCGATAGTTTTAAGTAGAAGTTAATATTTTAAATAAATATATAAAATTTATATATTTTTTTTTGAAAAATCCTTATCTATAGAATGAGGGGGTGAGAAAATGAGCCAATAGGATAATTAATATATATATAATGAAATGGAACAATAATTAATAAAGGCAAAAATAAAAAAATAATAAAAATTTCAGATAGGCAGCTGGTATATCTTATAGATAAGAGCACATCATACTCCCTCTCATTCTAATTACAGACATTTTTAACTAATTCTTTCATATCAAAAAAATAATAATTTAAAGAATTAAATATGTCATAAAGTAATAATTTTTTTTTCCAAATTTACCTTCAACCTAAATAGTGTACACAGAAAAACACGAAATTCGCTCGACTTATTAACACTAAACCTTATTAATAATAACAAGTGTAAAATTGAAAAGTAATAAATAGTGAGTTAGTTGATAACTTATACCAATCCGGTCTAAATGTAAGTCGTTTGTACGAGAAAGTTTTGGTTCTAAATATAAGTCACTTCTTGAGCTGAAAAAAATGTAGATCACTTATAGTATATTTCATATTTTTTAAATGTAGAGAGAGAAAACTTTAATAAGAGTAAAGTTAAAAATTTTTTTGTCAATTTAATATATTTTTTGATATGCGAAAATATGTTACAAGTAATTTATACCAAGTATCAGAGTAGTATTTAGAAAGATGTCCTTATAATAAAACTAGGAGTACCTAAAATTTCTTATACGTACGTTAAAATGGATGAGAGTAGAGCGAGAGTAGATGCTTGAAAAGGATTGTGCTTACATAATCAAAATACTAAAAAATTACTTTTCTTGTCCTTAATGTAGGACATAATTAAAGAGTTGATATTAATCATATATATAAGACTTATAAGTTTATCAATTTTTTTTAATTAATCCTATTGATATTCTCTCAATAATAACTAAGTAGAAGAGGGAGAAAGATTCTTAAAAAAAATATTTAGAGTGTTTTAAAAAATATCATGTTAATTAATTTAACTAATATTGTTAATTTACTCAAATTAGTAGATTTTATATTAAAAATCATAGGAGTAATATATACTACTACCTTCGGTCCTTAATATAAGAGGTAATTCACTAATTTGAATACATTAAGAAAATTAGTTAAGTTAGTTATTTGTAATAAATATTATTATCTTTCTTAAAATATTCTTATTAATAAAGTGTATTGGCTAGAGTTACCTTTATTATAATGACTATTTTAGAAAAAAATAGATAAAAATAAGAGACAAAATAAATTAGGATTTTATATTTATAATTAAAATAAAAATAAAATAAGCTTTTATATTAAAATAAGCTAATGTATACTTTTCAAACACGCACATGCATTTAATTTTAACCACGAGTCTCCCCCCTCCCTCCCTCTCACATGAATATAAAGAGAGAGAGAAGCTACACCAAAAGAGTAGTTGAGTTCTTTTATAGTGTGACATAGCACTGATATAGCTCTAGTTTATGGCAATTGTAGCAACCTCATCCTCATCTCCCACCATGAGCCTCAGCCACGACGATACCACCACAACCGCCGCCACCGATGGCTGCGACACGCTCAAACGCCCCGACGAGGACGATGACGACAACCACCAGCACGACATGGTCATGCCCGGCTTCCGCTTCCACCCAACCGAAGAAGAACTTGTTGAATTCTACCTTCGCCGGAAAGTCGAAGGCAAGCGTTTCAACATCGAGCTCATCACCTTCCTCGATCTCTATCGCTACGATCCATGGGAACTCCCTGGTACATAAACATATCAATCTCTCTATATCTCTATCTCCGATCAACTATTTCCCCGAAATTCACTGAGAATATTTATATAATCTGAGTATACGTATCTGTGTATACCGATTCACGTTCAGCTATGGCGGCGATCGGAGAGAAGGAGTGGTACTTCTACGTTCCGAGGGATAGGAAGTATCGGAACGGTGACCGGCCGAACAGAGTGACGACGTCTGGGTACTGGAAGGCGACCGGAGCTGATAGAATGATTCGAGCGGCGGAGAGTTCGAGGTCAATCGGGCTGAAGAAAACTCTAGTTTTCTATTCTGGAAAAGCTCCAAAAGGGATTCGAACCAGTTGGATTATGAATGAGTATCGTTTGCCTCACCATGAAACCCAGCGCTTCCAGAAGGTACGGTTTATATTTGTATTACTGCCTTTGGGCTCATATACCTCGTTTGTAGTTTACAACGAGATGCTGTAATTAGGAGACTCTGCATCTCTGAAGCCACAATGTTCACCATATTAACTTTGTCTATACACACACACACACAGCCATCATATAAGAAAAATGAGTTTTCTTTTGATGGGGAAGGTTTGAATTTTGTACATGCTGCTCTATAGCAGTGGCAGATAGCGGGGATTGGCGGCCATGAGTTAAGATTTTTTTCTTTTAATTAGAAAAATCAGTAAATTAAAAAAGTGCGTAGTTGAAAGTTTTATTGGTTTTAAATATAGGAGAGTACACTGGTAACAAAATTTTCAAATAAGAATTTTTTTAAAAGATTTTCCCAATAATAGGTATGACCCTTCAAAACATTGGCTCTACGAGTCTATCAACAAGTTGTTAGTTGAGATAGTAAATTGTCTTACTTTTGTAAGAAAAAAAATACAAGTTTAAATTGCATGAAGTGTATTTGTTGGGAGGGTTTTAACCTTAATACTTTCGTTTTGACAAAGATTAGTCTTAAGTCTAAAATGATCAGAAAAAACTATAAGATTACGCCAAAACCAAAAAAAACTTCTCTCATCAAAGTTGTATGTACTGCCTTCTTTTTTATTTATAAATCATCTTTACTTACTGATATGAACTGAAAAGTAGCTAAAATTAACTAGTCTTGTTAGAAATTTGGAATTAGTTTATCCATTCAAAAAATATTCCCAGCTAAATGTTATGAATTTTGAACACAATTTTATTCATTTCTCTCAATTTTCTTCTCCAATACAATTTCACCCAATTGCTTTATAAATTTTGTTGCTTGACTTAATTATGAATAGCAACATGAAAGTATGTAAAATGTGACTTAGTACCTCTGATCCTAATTATAAGATTTCGTTTATAATCTATGAGCGACATTTTATAATTAGAATTGAAAGTAGCATAAATAAAATAATAGAGGTTTAATTTAAAATTCAAATAATCTACCCACCAAATTATTAAAATGCCACTTATCACAAAATGGTAAATAGTGAAGCCTTTCTTTTAGTATTGTCAGCAGATCCTGAGATCTAATTAAGGGATACATGGAATAGGATGTGCTGGGATAGGTTAGGTTAGGTACTCATTCCCATTCTACTTTTTTCTTCTAATTTGTCTTAGCATTAGCCGCACAAATTTGTCCCCTATCCCATGCTTACCCTATATCTATATTCCCTCAAAATTAATTTTTAAAAATAATTCTAGTCGTTTAATAAATCTTAAAAATTATATAAATATGAAGTTTTACATAAATAAATATAAAGGTTAGTATTATGTTTAATATATGAAATTTGACATTATTTTAGTTTTGGTTCCTAAACTTTGAAAACAATGCTGTTTCATGGACAAAAATATTTAAACAGACCAAAATGAGATTAAATTTTAGGAATTAAGACTACTAGCTTCTTTTGCTCAAAAAAAGAAAAAAAAGAAAAAGACCACTAGCTTCAAATTTCGAACACTTCATAATTATTTATACATACGACATGTAAGATATGTTGCCTTTATCAAGATAGGATTTTTCCTTCTTTTTTTTTTTGGCCAACAAGATAGGACTTTTCCTTAAACCTCCTCTTATCCTAACTAGGTTTTAATTTATATCCAACTCAAATGAAATGGGACAATTCAAATACTCAGATAGATCTTTATTTATTTTGTTTTTTATGGATCTCAATTCTATGTTGCAACATAATTTGCATTCACTCATTATATATGCGTATGTTTATGTATATCTCTATTCTTAGAGTATCATATGCTGCTGTAATGGAGACATAAAACCACTCACATCAAGTCTTAAAAATGCAGTTTGTATATACCCAAAACAACTCAAGTATCAGCTTGACACATTGAAGTAACTGGTCGGTTAAAGTTCATTATTTCTTTTAATTAGCTCCTTCATGAAATAATTAATTATTACCACCTGTATATATGTATGTATATATGTTACTCTACAACGTTAGATCAAATGGATTTTTAAATTTCTATATACGTAATTGTTTGTTCAGGCTGAGATATCTCTGTGTCGAGTTTACAAGAGACCTGGTGTAGAAGACCATCCCTCTCTTCCTCGCAGTCTCCCTACCAGACCCTCCTCATCATCCACTACATCAAAACCTTCTTCAGACAAGAATCATTATAATAATAATAGTAAGCACAACATCAACCTTGCCCCAGATATGTTTCATCATCAAAACATGGGATTTCTGGAACAGCCTCAGACTCATCATCATCGAGATCAGCAAATTACCAACGAAACTGATCAGGGAAGCAGTAGTAGTACTGCTGCTACAACTACCACCACCACCACCAGTAACAACAACAATAATTCGATATTAATGATGGATGATTTCAATAGGCTAGTGACTTACAATAATAACCAACAATATTTACAATACTATAACAGTGGTATTATGAATCCTTCTCCTTCTGAAAATCATCATCATCTTCTTCCTCTTCATCTTCATCATCATCATCTTCAGTTCTCTAATCTGCTATTGCAGCAGCAGCCACAAGTTCAGCAACCAACGGTGGCTCTGAATAGTTCGGTTCCGATTACTTCTTTTTCTGACAGATTGTGGGAGTGGAATCCATTAATCCCTGAAGCTACAAACCGAGAGTTCAGCAACATGTCCTTCAAGTAACTAATATATGTAATCTTTCTTATATATATATATATATATATGATCCATTTTCAGTGTAGCTCTTTTTTTGGTTTCATAGACTCTGGTATGTACGTAGTGTTTGGTTTGAATTATTTCGTAGGTTGTGTCCCATTGATCTCATATGTTAATCGTTGGCGCACATTGTAGTGTAGTTTCAAAAGGCAAAACCGCAAAAAGTATATTTATTGACTTTTGTTATTATTTAAATGTGTCTTGAGTTTAAATGAGGGGGAATCATTATGAAGTCCAAGAGAAACAATGTATAATTACCAAAAAGTTTTAATAACAAGTGAGTTACATAGATTTTGTTACAATTTCCTGCATTGAAAACTTGTTATTAACTTGTTCTGAGACTTTTCAATAATTATATTTTTTTGGGATCGCACAGTGATTTTTCCCCTAAATTATGTTTTTCAATTTTATTTTTTTTTAAAAAATTTAACTTTGAAAACATAATAAAAAACTAAAATATATAACCAGATGTTTTTTTTTTCCAACAAAATATTGTGGCAAGTCTCATGTCCAATATGATTTGGGGATACTTTTGTTTCACCTCGAAAATACCAAGTTGGTATTCTTTTTAGAGGGATTCATGGATTTATTTCTCACTTTGTTGACCATGATTCATCATTCATAGGGATTTCCCACAGTATCATATGTGAATTTTTTTCTTTCACTGGAAAAAAATATTTTATTACCGGAAAGAATATACCTTATTTTTCAGATTCAGATAATTGATCTTACATATTTATTGTACTTATTCTACTTATTTTCAATTAAGTCACAACACGTGAATGTAAATTAAAAATAATTGGCAAATAAGTTCACTTATTAGGCTAAATATGGGGATGTTACTGTGAAAACCTTAAGCTAAACATGATTGTTGCGTTAAAAACATATTTCTAGCTTCCCCATGTTTAGCTTAAACTTCTCATAACACTCTTATGCAGTTATGTTTAACTAAATAATTTTTATAATCTTAAACAAAAAGGCTCTAAAGAGTGTTAGTTTTGTCCTACTTTTGTGTTATTGGCATTACAAGAGAATTAATTTTATTAATTTACAAGCAAATTAACTTGATTCCATGTATAACTATATTCCATTAATTAAAACCATGGTGTTGAAGAAGATGAGTTTTTTTATTTTATTTTAATTCTAATGTTAAAAGATTATTAAAGAGAAAGTTTATAAAGTTAAATAACTAGATTAAAATGTAATATAAAATTAAATAATTTGAAAACATAATGGCTACCTATATCAAAAGAATGGAAAAATATAAAAATAACTGCTAAAAATAAAAATGGGTTTACCCAAAATTGGCAAGAGAAGAGTGAAATGGGAGTGCTGGTGGTTTAGGTTCCAGCATTTTTTATATAATAAAAAAATAATAAATATTCAAAGCAAAATTCCCTCTTCTTTAATTAATGCCACTCTCTCACTAATCAACTTTCTTTCTTTTGTTTTTTTGGCATTCTCACTTTGACGAATTGTCTCGCCTTTCAATCTTGTGAAGCCGCGTAATGAAGCTTAAGTTTTGTCTTTTGTGGATGGTTTTTCAAGTAAAATCTTTGTCATTACTCGGCAGTTGTTGGATTTGCAGACGTTTTTCAAATACCGGGGGCCTTCCAGTTTGAGTATCAATGAATCTTTGATATAGATTAATCAGAACAGAAATTTAGTGAATACTATTTTATAAACTTGTTTTTAATAATTAAGTTAAAATTAGGGTTTGGGTTTAACGGAATCAGCTAGTCTCTCACAGTGTGGCCAATCAAGGTTTAAATTCTTGCTAGAAGGTGTGCCTACATTTAGTGTCTGATAGTGTCTCAGATAAAATTGTTTCTACTAGAAAGATACTTGTATTTAACCAAAAAAAAAGAAGAAGTTAAAATTGTGGAATTTGAAAAATGCCTAACACAGTATTCTTTTTTTTTTTTTTGGTTTTTAATTCTGTTTGGTCAGAAGGGGATAACTAATCCTTCCCAAAAACCAATTATTTTGCGTCTGTCTCTTATTTTTTATGCTTTTTGTCTAATTATTTTCTAGCTCTTTTACCGTAGTTTAATTTTTAGTGTTTTATATTCTTATTAGCTAGTCAGGGCCTTGTAGGTCAAATGATACCAAACGCCTTTTTTCAAGGGTTTTTTTTAATGAGGTTGTAAATTCAAATCCTTTGTATAAGTCCTCACTTAGAAACGAGTATTATAGTCTTCAATTCTTTTTATAAGGCATCATATGAGATCTTATTACATTTTTCTCTTCATATTATTCTTACTCAATGTTGGTTCATATTTTCCAAACTTAAGACTCTTCACTTCTCAAAAGATCAGCTTATTAAACACAAATACGATAACTTTGTTACAGACTGTTAAGTTTTTAGCCTCTCCCTAGTTTAAGTGTTAAAAATGACATAATAATTAAAAAGATAGAAGGGACTACTCCATATATATATATATATATATATATATATATGAGTTAGTATATGACTCAAAAATTCAAGACATTTCAATTCTTTTGAATTCATGATCTTTTCTTTCTGTGTCTGTGTTGTGTGTGGTATATATGAGCCAACATGGCATTCAATATAGCATTATCGACGTGATAGAGACTTACTTGACGCGGAGAAAAGGCCCAAGAAAAACACATTGGGTGAAGCTAAACTCAAGTAAAGAGACAAGTAAGGTGCTTGAGAAATGAGAACTCTAGAATGTCACAGAACTGGGTTTGGTGGAGGGGGAACTTCGGTTTGAATCCCAGGTGCAATTAGCAATGGCTACCACATGCATATAGCTCCCCAATGTGCATGTAAAATCTACCAAAAGATGCAAGCTGTTTTTTGAGCCTTGAGGCTTGTTTTAACTCCAATGAGTTCTCAAATCCCAACTCCTCCATATGATGATAGAAAAACAAAAAGCTCTTCTAAAATATCAAGGTATAGAGCTTCAATTTTACGCAATCCAAAACTCTGCAATTATGATGTGACACTTTCCAAATCTCTATCAATCCACAGGATAGGGTACTATGAAGCCAAAAACCGAACGTAGAATATCATAAGACTATTAATTATAAATTTGGAACAAATGATAACAAAAGTCCGTGTGAATGCAGCCTACCTTTTCTTCTCAGCACCCATATTTGGAAGTGGGAGAAGACAACTTAGAGCGATGGTTTATAGCGGACTACAGTTATGAAAACAAATGCTCCTAATCTGGTGAGATGCTGGGACAATGAACCCAGAGTATCCTTGTCAGTAAACAGATAGGTAGGCACGAGCAATTTTCCCGTCTAAAAACATATTTAAAGCACAATACTGCCTACAGTTAGATATGCAATGAATAAACATACAAGTTCAATTCATTAACAACATCAGGTTCTAGCAGACGTCAAGTTCCCATAACAAGAAAAAAATTAGACACGGGTTTTTCATGGACTCAAGCATCACATGTTCATGATTAGTTCACCACAAGCTTTGTTGAATAAAGGAGAAAGCATCATCAAGGGCTACGACCTAAGAGGAAAATAAACAATATTTATTCCATTTGCCAGATACAAGGAGAAAACATCGCAAAGCAACTACAAGATTAACACCAGTATAATCGAAGCCCTTAAACCTTTGTTTATGCTTATGCTACCAAATAAGTTCAGACATCAATTTACTTGTTCTTAAAACAACTGAACGAAGATTGTTTGTTGGCCATACTGTCCTGAAAGGAACTATTACTTTAGATTACAAACTCTAAAAAACAACATTTAAGCTACAATTAGAACAATGGAAAGTGCTAATACTTGTGCAAGAGCCTAAATGCGCCTTTGCGTTATGAAAGACGCCTTAGTGGGAAACAGAACCCTCCACCAAAAGCCCTTTCTTTCATTGGAGGAGTTAGGTGTCTATGAAGGTGATAAATTGAAGTAGACATAATAAAGAGAGAATAAATTGAAGTAGAAATAAACCATAAATAAAGGGAGAACAATGTCTTGTGCAGACAAAAGAATATCACGGGTACATACAATAAGCACAATGAATCTATTACAGATATGACTTGAACATAACTCATCAAGTCCATTCAGCCCATCAAATAATCCAACAATTTTAACCAAAAATGAAACAATCATTGGATAACCATTAAGGACAAATTTTAATATTAGTACATGTATAGGTAAATAGGACAAGAGTATCAAATCTTGTTTTATTGTTTCAGAAGACCATCATCAATCATTTCATGGACAAGATTCTCTACTTTATCATTCTCACTTTTTTCCAAAAGAGCTTGAAGAAGTATTTTATATGTTATTGAATCAGGGAGGCAGTCATTCTGTTTCATTTTCGGAAGCAGTGTCATAGCTTCATCAAGCAGCCCTTGTCTACAAAGGCCATTGATCATAATATTATACGTACAGACATCTAGATGATAGCCTTTGATAAAAAGGTATTCAAAAATCTCCCAAGCATCATTCAGTCTATCACCTTTACACAAACCATCAATAAGTATGTTGTATGTGTACAAATCAGGCTGAACTCCCTGGGCAACCATTTGCTGAAATAATGCAATCCCCTGATCAAGATGTTGGCTTTTACAAAATGCATGTAACAAAATACTATAGGTGACTACATCAGGGGCATGACCACTACCACACATATCACAAACAAGATCTTTCACGCATGACATTTTTCCTAATCTACACATGCCACCGATAAGAGAGTTGTAAGTCCATACATCAGGATCTACATTTTTGCAACGCATTTCCCTAAACAGAGCCATAGCTTCATTGACCATTCTGATCTTACATAATCCACCAATCAAGATACTAAAACTAATTAGAGGGTGTCAATCCACTTCGGACCATCTTATTAAATACTTATTTTGACTCATTAACACTGTCCATCGAACAATACCCGGCCATTAATGAATTGTATGTTACAACACCAGGTCTCTCACCACATTTCATCATCCTGGCAAGCACTCCTTCAGCTTATATGATCTTTCCTTCTTTGCAGAGCACATCAATCAATATGTTAAATGTATAAACATCAGGTTTGATGCCTTTCAGTGCCATCTCATGGAGCAAAGAGTTAGCTTCTTGCCATTGTCCCTTGTTGCAGTGACCATGGATTAGAGAGTTATAGGTGACAATATCTGGTAAAATTCCTTGATGAACAATTTTTGAACACAATTCATGGGCCTCATTAACATGTCCACCTTTGCAAAGGCTATCAACGATTGTGGTGTATATGACTACATTAGGCTTAACTGAGTGCCTCTCCATCTTTCGGACCAATTTAATGGCAGACCTTACTTTCCCAAGTTTACACAGCCCATTGACCAAAGTTGCGTAGCTAAATTTATCTAACTGAAATCCTTTGGCCATGATGTCGTCATAAAAGTCCAATGCTTCTCCAACCTCGTTCCTAATGCACAGTCCTTTTATCAGCGTATTCAAAGTTACAGTATCCGGTTGAAGATCCATCTTGTGAATCTTGCCCAATGTTGAGAAAGCAGAATACATGTCACCCAAATGGCAGTAACAATTGAGCAAGATGTTGAGTGTAAATAAATCGGGTGTGAATCCCCTAAACTCAGCTTGTGCAAACAATGAGATGGCAGTGCGATTATGTTTAGACTTGGCAAGTGATCCTAAAATCTTATTAATTTGGAGTATGGAAGGTGGGGGATGCAGATGGAGTAAGCGAATGAATGAAGCTATGGAGTTGGAAACGCTATTCACATTGGGGGTTTGAGAATGGGCAAAGAATTTGGGGGTAAGGGAAAAAGGGGAAGAGAGAAAGACGGAAGGTGAAGAACATGGAATAAGGTGAGGAAGCTGGGGGAAAGCGTACCTTCTAATTCTAAACGACATCTTCGCCGCCGATAAGGAACCCCGCCTTTCGTTAGAGTACTCGATCTTGGACTGGGAGCAGCACGTTTATTTTATAATGTGAATCCTACGGTCTTGTAACCTATTAGTCTGAAAAAGTACATGATTTTTTAAATTAAAAAAAAGCTATTTCTAATTTTTTTTAAAAAAATAATAATGACTCACAAGAAAAATTACCAATTGTTGTTAGAAGTAAAGATTAAACATATGTTATAAAATTAAGGGACAAAACTAAAATATCATATAAAATTAGATAATCCAAATTGATTTTATGATGAGCAATCATTTAATTTTTTAATGTTTAATTTTTTTATTTTTATAGATCCAAAATTCAAAATATAGATAATTTCATAACTGACATATTTTTTGCAAAATAAATTTATCATTAAAAATTACAAATTAAAATTTTTAAATGTGAACCAGTTAAGTCAAATTTTAATGATTTAGATTTTATTACAATCATAACTATAAAAGTGACGATCGCCAAATATAAACTCATTTTTCTTTGAAAACATTTTTTTCCTCAAGAATTTATGAAGTTTAGTATAGAGTTACATATTGAGGGTCCGTACTCCTTAATTTTATGTGTTAGGGCTTGAGGTGTAGATTTGCAATTTTGAACTCTTTTTTTTTTTAATTAATCCTTTTGTCTGTTATCATAAAAACTGCAATTTGGTAGAAATTCTTGCGGCATCATTTTATTTTTTTTGCTTGGTTTCGAACTGAAAAAAAATCTTCAAAATTTTGATTTAAAATTTTTTTTTCTTGTTGCATATATATATGTATTTCCATTTTTTAATTTCAACCATCTCATTTGAATTTTATTATATATTTCTTAAAATCTAAATAACTTATAAAATGTTGGCATGTTGTTCAAGTAAAATTGATACAACTAATTTGATGTCAGATACTATTAAATGATTTTCTGGCAAAAAAACTACTCGTATTAAGTAGTATTTAAGTATTTTTTAGCTAATTAGATATAGCTCTCCTAAATAATTTTTTAAATGTTGGCATGTTGTTCGAGTAAAAATGAATTCAACCGTTTGACTTATCCATTATTGGTTTTTATTACTTCTCCGGTCCTTAATATAAGACCCATTTAACTAATTTGATTAGATTAAGAAAGTGAAGTAAGTTAGTTAATTATAAGAAATGTGACACATTTTTCCTAAAACACCATAATCATCTTTCTTAATACCCTCTCTCCCTCTTCTACTTAATTATGATTGAGAGAGTATCCATAGAGGTAATTTAGAAAAAATTGATAAATATGATAAATGGGTTTTATATTTAGAACCAAAACCAACTCAACAATTGAGTCTTATATTAAGGACCAGAGGAGTAATATTTTTAAATATGTGATTAATATTATATTATAATAAATATATATTAATATTTTTGCCTCTTATTGCTGGGAATCATCCATCTACAATGACAATATATAAATCCAACTAAATCAACAGAATTTAATAAAACATATATCAAAACATTAATAGTGGATATTAAATAAACTTTTTATACATTATAAAAATTCCTTAAAATTATTTTAATTATAGATATGTGTTCAAAAATATTAATAAACGTAACATTTTTAATTTGGGTAAAATACAATGAAATTTTGGATAATTTGCCAAATCAAATTATTTGAAATGGCTTGGATTAAATTGTAAATTTGATTCTAGAATTGCTTTATTCTATTATAAATTTGTTTGGATGAGAACATGATCCCTCTATACCTCTTTCAGCTAAGATTGATCCATAACTAAGAGTTGAAATTTAAACTCTCACCACTTAAATTATGTCACAGCAAATTTATGATATGTTCCGTGGGAAATTTTTCCTCCAGAAATTTTAAATTTAAACAGGCCATAGTGTAAAAAATAAAAACAAAAAAGAAATTTGCCATAGAAGGAAAAAAAAATACTCTGCAATACATATTTTCATTATTTTCTCATGGCAAGGATCCGAGATTTATTATTGTCATTTGCAAGCTTTTTTTTTTCTTTGCTAAGTATAGGTGTCTTTTTATTGGAAGTAATCCTATTTAAGGCACTGTCAAGAATTGAATATACGCACCTCTCCCAGTGAGAATTCGAACTTTAATTCGCCACGTCATGGCGGATTAGTCTTTTCTGCTAAATTCAACCCTTATTGGTTCTACAAGCACTTTTGAAGCCAAATGAAACCACATTCTTAACTGGGGTATACAGGCCGCAAGCCTTAATGGTCTAAAACGGTTAAAAAAAAATCCTAAGAATTACAAGAGTAAAACCTATGAATTATAGGGGGGGGGGGGGAAAGGTAATAGGCTAAATCCAATTTCTTGTTCCTTAGGACTACGAGTTAGGACCAAAAATAAATATTCAATTTGCTAAAAGAAACAGTACCAGAAGAAATTCAATTATATTTTCTAATCTTTAAGAAAAACCCTAACATAAGTAAGAAAAAAATGAGCACTACGACGACTGTTATGATGGAAGGTTGGGGGGGAGGCTAACAACAATGGCAAGACAAAGCAGGTAAGTAAAATGTTGAAGCAAGGATAAAAATGGAAGACGATGGTATGAGGAAAAATGATGCTTCATTCAAGGATAAGCTACATGGTCAAAACTTGATGGAGGTCTTGAAAGATAGGAAGGGGAGTAGGGTGTTTTATGATGCATGGAATGACTATATAGAGCCTGAAAGCCAACTTCACAAATGGAAATGGTCAAGAAGACTTGGAAGTTAGAGAAGGAGTAGATAAAACGGATCAGAATGATGAGAACTACCTAACATTATGGGTCTAACAGGAGGAATATGTATTATGATGTGTGCCATAGAGGAAGTCCTTAATCGTTAAGCTTCTAAGAAAAAACCTTTTGGTAAGGGTGATAAGGACAACATTGGGAAAGATATGGAAAACATAACATGCTTTCACTACTAGAGATATTGATAATCACTTCTTTATAGTCTTGTTTGAAGATGAGGATGACATGAACCACATTTACCTCTTCCAGTAGAGCTCAAAACCTTGAGCAAAGATAGTAAGGAGAATTGCTTAGTGAACTTGACAAGTGACAAGATGGAGAATGTAGAGCAGATAGGGAAGGAAGCACGAATGGATCATAACCATGAATTAGGTCGAGAAAGTCTGGAGAAAGGTTAGAAGAGATCACAAAAGGTTACGAAAGGAAAGCACTCAGGTGGCGATAGATGTGTAATCCTAGTCCATATCTTTATTAGAGCCCTTAAACACTCAATCCAACATGTCTCCCACTAATTATGATGTGTAACCAACAATTGGCAGGCTAACTGGCTAAAATTATATACCTTTTTGTTATTCCTTTTTTTTATATGTTAGCACTAAATTATAAATAATCAATGAAAACACTATGAACTTATTTAAAATGGTACAAACATCTAAACAAAATCACAAAAAATTATTACAACTATAGTTTCCCAAACATAAGAAAACACTAGCAAGTTCAAACATTAATGTTTCCAATGAAATCAACATTTAACAATGAATAACCATCTTGATCTAATTATCTCCAATGGAAATGACATTCAAAACAAAGGGGAAATGAGTGAGAAGAAATGAAGAAGTAATTCGAGCTCGATTTCTAGCGAATCTATAATGGCAAAGAAATTCAAAGAAAGGGAAGAGCAAAAAAAAAAAAGGGGAACTTTGGCAGGAAAGCCATGGCGTGGGAAAGGTTAGGGTTACTTAGTCTTAGTTTAGGATAGTATTTTGGGAGAATCTCACAAAAAGAAGTTTGAAATTACTAAATTCCAAATTTGGTTTAGTAACAACACTCTAATAGGTTTTGACAACACTGGACTTGCAAATAACAAAACATTTTTGTAAACATTCTTTATTTGAGATTTAGTAATTTTAAATTTCTTTTTGTGAAAATTTCCTTACTAATTTTTTAAATTTATTATCACATATAAAAAAATAATTAGGTGGGTTAGCCATAGGTTGGGGTTATGGCATTGCGACTTAGGTGATGTTGGGTTGGTTTTTTAGCCAACCCTAACCTATCTTTTTTAGCAGGTTGGACTCGATATTACCAACTCTATTTTTTTTTACAATAAGAAACCCCAACTAAATCCTAGGAAGATCACTATTAGGCATAGTAATAGCGTCTTGTCTTATGATATTGGACAAATCATCAGGAATACAGTCGATTACGCTGAAGCTATGCATCACTCTAGGACCCATTGTTGTAAGATAATCTGCAGCCTCATTACAACGACGATTAGTGTGTAGAAGACTAACTTTCCACTCACGATTGAGTAACTGGTGCACCTCATTGATAATCCCATGCTCTTGGTGAATCTCATCAGGTGGTGTTGACAGGAGTTTAATAGCATTTATTGAGTCAGATTCTAAGAGAACTTTCCAATAACCTACGTCCCTTGTTGACTTGACACCATGGGCGCATCCTCATAGTTCAACCGTCAATTCATCACTATCGTTAATTAGATGGATGAAGCCCTTTAAGAAATCACCTTTAGAGTTATGTATGAGACCTCTGCATGCACTTGTATGAGACAAGTACGAGTATGCACTATTAATGTTCACTTTAACCCATCCCTCCTTAGGTGCATGCCAACGATGTTGTGTGGAACTTCATGGAGTTCTTGGGATGGTGGATCCCATGAGACTCTGCCGAGAATGGTAGAAACTATGAATCTAGCCTCTAGTGTTATGGATCACAGTCTCATTATCGATCCACTTACCCTCGAAAATGAAAAGATTTTGATGACGCCAAAGCCACCAAATGACAATTACAAACTACACGTTCCAGTCTTTAATATTCATAGGCTTTTGATTCAAATTCCACCAAATCCAATCAGAAAGACTTATTGCACAAAACATCCTCTATTGTGAGTGATGCACCTGTTGTTGCCAAAGAAGCTTGGTTTGCCTACAGTCTTGAAGGACATGAATAGTGTCTTCTACCTCACTATTGCACACCGAACAAGTTCTA